GTCTTTCTACGGAAGCAAATGGTGCGACCACTGCAGTTATTAAAGCCTGAGTGAATGCTAAGTAAACATTGGCCAAAATACAGTTGAAGTCATGTTTTCTCTTTATTGTCTGTTTCTAGTCTTGTTTCTTGCATTGTTTCTAATCTACAAAAAAATGGTAACAGAAGAGAGGACTGCATTGGGCCACAATTGTCTGGTCGTCAGTGTTTGCATGATGCTGTAATGGCTACTGCTAGCACAGACCGGTGTGTGATGGGAACCGTAACGCAAGCAGAAATGGATGTTGAGTTGAAATAAAACACACCAAGTCCTGTGGAGTTCCATCCCTGGCATGTTCCCCTACTCTGGTCGTTAGCCCACCATGACATTAGGCTAACTAGAATTCCTCCACCTTAGCCCTCAGCTTAACTATCTCTAGCGTTTCTGTCGAAATCTCACCTCGCTGCCAGAGGACATAGTCTTGCCCTGTTGAGAATGTGGCAGCACCATACTATCTACAGCCACACTCACCCCCACCATCACCACCTCTTTTGCTACACCTATGTATACAAAAGTGTTTAACCAATTACCAGGGTCAAAAAGAAATATTTTGGGCTTTTTTTTTCTCCAGGGACTAGATTGATTAAAAACATTATACAATACAAATGTACAATTTATATGACTGCACGCCTTCGTTTGCAGACAGAGTTACTCTGCGGCAGTGTGATGATGCTTTAACAAGCCCATTAGCTGAGGCTTTGCAGCTGCTGCAACAAACACAAATAAAACCTCTTAAAAACCAACCACCACTACAGCAGCAGAACAGTATGACTGTCTAGGTGCGTTCTCATGTAAACCTCGGTCAACGACAGATGGTAACTGAAAAAACTACTATTTTCAATATTTTGTCATCTATTTTGTTTGCCTTCCTCCCTGGCTGAAAATCAGATCCTGGTGCAGATGTAGCCGCAGCACACGGTCACCATTCCTGGAATTAACTTCTACAGTCAATGATTGCAACATGATTCTCTTAATGAAAGAATCTTGAGCAGCAGCATACTCAATTACCATGACACACTGTTCCACTGTCAAACAAGCTTGTCTTATCTTTTATGAGGCCTTTGGCGGCAGTAAACACACCGCAAAATCTAAGTACCAACAATTCCACAATGTATATAAAAGGACAACACTGCAGTAGCACTGTTCAGTGAGGCCATAAAATTCAATAATTGTAAACATGAGGTCAGTGCCTATTGGAAATCAGGATTTTCATACAAATAAATAGATCACTAGTGCAGTGATTGTCTAGCTCGTCACAAATCAATTTGATTGGCCAATCAGGACTTGCAAACCATGAATGAAAACAAATAACAAGTGTATAATTTAAGATTTCATTACTTATATTTAAAATATCTTTGAATATGTTTAAAAGAATAAAAAAATTATGGTGAAAAATGTATCACTAACACATTAAAACAAAGATTTCATTACTTATATTTAAAATATCTTTGAATATGTTTAAAAGAATAAAAAAATTACAAAAGTATTTAAATATTTATTAAGTCTCTACCAACAATGCATAACATAAAATTTTAAATAAAACTTGACCCCACTCATGTGTACATTAAATAATAAAATAATAATGAGCAGGCCCACCGGCCTGCTGAAAGATTTTTAAATTAATTATGTTCTCTCATAAAAACCTGCAAAGTGCATTTAAGTCAAGTGCATTTTAAATTTTTCTACCACAACAGAGTGCATTCAGAACAACTGCTGAAAGATATATTTTCTATAAATTTAGGTTGCAATCTCTGCGCTCTGCTCTCCTTTTTCTTTGCTGTGCGCTTCTCTGTCTTCAAACGAGATCAAGTACGGTCGCAATAAAGTGCACAGGATCCAAAAAGATCTCACCATGCTGGCTGTGAATTTTCAACATCCTGTTTTGGCCATGTTGTTTCAGTGATAAAATTTTCGGTGGCCAAGTATTCAGTGAATCCCTAGTTTAGGGATAAAACATAGACTCCCCAAACAAATGCAATGTTCAGAAGTAAATTATCAAATAATGGCCGAGGGTGAACAACAGGACACTGACATCGAGGAATATTAGGGAGTTAAACTATCTGTCTGAACCTAGTGAATACAGACAAAGTACATACTGAAAAATACTGGTGCGAGCAATGGCTATGAAGACCGATTGCAAAAACAATCTATTCCTGAAAAGAATATATATATATATATATATATATTCACTCTTAATTTCCTAAAAGCCAATGTCATAAATCAGTGTTTTCAGACCATTTGTTTAATATAATCTGCACTAAACCAGTTAACTGATGTGGTAGTTTGAATCCCACTCTTTCTGAGAAAAAGTTGGTTACAAAAAAAGGATGGAAGGAAAGGTCATAATGCTAGTACAATTACAAATAACAATATTGAATTAATAGCACTGATGCTGAATTTTTGCCATAAACAATATGATTCACTGATGTGTACACAACTGCTGGGAACGTTCTGATAGCTCATTCAGGCAACGTAACAGCCGCATTTTGCAAAACTGAAGTCATTGTATTAAGGAAGAAAAGTGTTAGGATTAAGACTGTCTGCTTTCAGATATTAAAAAGTGGTTTATTTAGAGATGAATGTTAACATTCCTAACAAATCTGGACAATCCAAGTAAAGTAAATATAAACAGATCTCAACTAAATACAAAGTAACTTGTATTATCATGTTTTTCAAACCTCAATATTTACAAAGTTGATATTGAAAGGTCCACAACAGTGGAGCACATAAAAACAAGGGAAGTACAGAATCTAAGTGGGATATAAAGTTAGGCGTAATGATTTCCTGGCATTTTTTTAAACACAACAGAAAACTTAAAAATATTATTTTTAAAGTCTTGTTTTTTTTAAACATGTAAAGTGTACATCAATGAAAACGTCTGTCCTCTAGAAATAATTTGTTACAATAGACCAGTCAACAAAAACTACTATCACATCACAGGAGGAATAAGAGCAAATTATATATGACTACTGTTGAGCAGCCTTTGCTATAGTAACGTCAACAGGCTACTTCGTTTATTACTGAGCATGCTTCACTGTGCAGATCTGTGCCTTCCCTACCTGATTTGCCAAGTGATTAGAAAGCAAATGACATGGCTGACCTCCTGCAAAGGTCACCGAATCATTAAATCGTTATGCAGAGCCACTACATTTTCAGGAGTGTGCATATAACAATAAATAACTAATTTGTTGTGGAGAGGCAGTCTGTGAACATCTGCAGCAGGAGGAACGCAATAATGTGCAGTTAATTGTAACTGTTGGGAGTGTTGGGTTTGATTGGTGTGAATTATTTCTGTCAGGTTTGAACTGTGATTGCTATGAAGGCCTTCTCACGCTGGGTGGCTGCGAATAGAACAAAGAAGCTAAGTTCCGGATCGAGATTTGCACAAGCTGAATGTGAAACTGCACCAAAAGGCGTGTACTGACTCAAACCACCAAGAATAAGACTGACAAGTGGCTTCACATTTGCGACACGTGGTGCACACAGCACAGTGACGGTTAAACAAAGCTGGTGATGAAAAAAGGAGGTTTCATTAAAAAAAAAGAACTAAAAAATGACGACTTCATTTACACATGGACAATTATATAAGAATTGGAAAATAACACCACATGCGCTGATAGTGTTAACCTGTTATAAACTAATCCTACAGCTTTCACCAAAGTAAAGGGGAGATTTTCAAAATTTCCAGAGGGGGTAACACAAGTCATTTCTTGCTTAGTTTCACACACAGATGTGGGTTGAAAAGGTACTTGGGGTAGAAGTAGTAGGTCAGTTAGTACAAGTGTTGATACGATTAGCATGAGTAGGTTTTAGAAAAGATGAATAGAATAATAAGGTGATGTAAGGTATAAAAACTACCGTGTAAGTTTGGATATGGATCGATGCAGTAAACAGCAGGTAAACATATATAAATATAAATATATGGAATGAAGGAAGGGACATACTGTAGTAAGAAGTTGTGTAATTATGCCAATTTTTTTAGTCTTTTAAAAATGAATTGAAGCCAATAAAAATATATATATATATATACACATATTTATATATATCTACATATACAGGTCTCTACATGCATTTGTTTCCATATTTTAAAACAGAAACTAAAAGATATATATTTATTCTGCTCATTGGAGATGCATCATCCAATGCAGCATAATCAATGCATAATTTTAATTATTTGGGCATTTAAAATAAAATTAATTTGAATCAACAGTGATGGTTGTTGGAATTTATCTCTGTGATATACAGCAATGTGGGTGATGGAAAGGTCTTTCGAGAATGTGTCAAACTCGAGGTCTGTGGCCTGAATCTGGCTCATCTCTTTAATTACTGCAGCTCACCAGAGCTTCACATGTCTATGGGTGTCATAAGATCTGGTCAAATTTGTGTGTGTGTGTGTGTGTGGCAGGTAAATCACAAGTTCACTTCTCTAATTCCAATCATAATCAAATATACAGTTAGCATAAACTACATTTTTAGTTCGAGACATATCCTCTATTTTATGTGTAACTATATTCTTGTTTTGCTTGACGTTAATAGTTTTCATTTATTTTTTATTTATTTCTGTGAGGGAAAAGTCTGTTGGAGTGTAGAGCTTCATTTCTGGTTAAAGCATCGTCAAAACTGGACTGTTCTAGAAACGGTGATCCCTTCTGCGCACAACTAAGCCTGGGTTTTAAAACATTTCTAAATTTTCTTGATTGACTGGGTTTGACAGCCCTGCTTTAGAGCAATGAGAAACCCCCCATTAGGTCTGTACATTGTTGGGTGGATGCTGCGTTGTAACCACTGGGTCACTACACAGCAGTAAGTCACAGGTTGGAGAGGGAGCACTGCCTCCATCTCCAATGCATAAACATCGTGCAAACACACAAATAAAAAACATCAATTCCTTTGATTGGTAAACAAACGCGAGTCTGGGCCTCGACATGTGAGCCAGACCACCTCAGTATAAATGGCCTTACCTGGGCTCCGGCAGGATGATTTTCTTGCTCGCCCGGGCCGCCGGTGTAGATTTGCTCTTTTCCATCGCCATCAAATAACTGACGTCGGCGAGCACCGCTTCGAGGTCCGCCATCTTCCGACCCTGGGACGACCAAAACCAATAAAGCAACAAGGCAATGGGGTGGGTTCTGTTTAGTGAGTTACAAAATAATGTCCTGCTCCAAATGTGACCAACATCAAGGGTCGGGGTGCGTGTCGTAGGCCGGAAAAACGGACAACGGAGCTGACCATCGACTGAAACGGTGTAACTGTCTTTGGCCGCAGTTGCGTTCACTTCGCCTCAAACTGTCATCGTTGTCAAACAGAGGGAAATTAGGAAGGAAGACATCAGCCGACAAATGACAGTCACGGAGACCAACAGATCAATGTCCTTATAATCCCATTTGGTGCGAGACAAAAATAAAGGGCTGTGTAGGTTTCATCCGAGGGTGGTGTGGAACGAGACGAGTGGGAAATAATGCAAGGGGGCAGAGGTGTCGGCTCAGGGGACGACAGCCAGATCCCACGGCTCTCTGGGGACTCCTCTTCTCCTCTTAATGGAAATGTGTCCAAACGCCTGGCCTGTCGCCAGTGTGGCATGTGTTTTTGGGATAATACCCAAAAGGTAAACACGGACACGCGAGGGGATAAAGCTGGACTTTGCTCCTTGGTGTGTCGAGACGGCCAGAAAAACAGCCAAACACACGCTCTCTATGTCAGCGAGAGTAAAAATACATCGGGGGGAAGAGGACGGACACTGGACGACAGGTTGGTGTCCACCATCCAGTGTGGATGCTCCGACGTCTTTAATAGCTCGCGGTGTCTACAAAATGCAACCGTTGAAGGCTTTTTTTGGCACAAATTAAAGAAGAACACGGCTTACATAAGAACCGAGACTCCTGCACAATATCCCCGCAGAGAGTCACACACCACTGCTGTGTTTATGTTGCTGCTGCTGGCTTCCTGTGTAGCCTGTAACTTATCCTCCTTATCGTTTCCGTCAATCTCCCTCATCTATACCCGCACATTAACACACAAAACCGAATTTAAATTATCCAACGGTGGGTTAGTAACAACTCCGGTGGCGGCGTGCTTGTCTCACCGAAAGTAAAATTCTCAACGATCGAAAGCTAACTAGTCTTAACCCACTGTCAAAATCGATATTTCAGTTTGTGTGCTAATAAGCTACCGCGTTAGCCAGCTGGCTAACTAACGAACGGCGTTTTGCACTGTTGAGCCAAGGCTTTCAGCCACTGTAGATTGAGTCAGCGCAGCGGATAAATTAAAATGCCCCCGTTGTCTGTAGCAGACACAGTGTGAAGCTGACACAAACATTCAGCACTGGCTCGGTTTCACACAGTGACGTGCTTAATGAGCTAGTGGCTGTCGGGGGAGTCTTGCAGGCTCGCGAGAAAAACAGAGTCCTTGTGGGTCCAAGTAGGATCAAAAGTGATATGACAACCGCACAAAATAACCCATAGCGGCTATCCCAGCAAACACGAGCGCCAGGAGAAATGCCTCGCTTAAAGCCAACACTGAGGGACTGACAACCGACTGACGCCGATGGTGGCAGTGGAGGAGGGAGATCTGGGGGAAGGAGGGAAGGAGAGAGGGGGGCGCTGCAAGGAGATGAAGCCTCACTGACCAGCAGGAACTCGTTTACTTAAAACCGTTTCCTCCTTTGCGGTGGTAAAACCTGTGGTAATAGAGATGTTCTCGAATACGGTTTTCGGCCACGGCTTGGTGAGTGTACCAGGAAGGGCCCAGATAAACAACGACCGCCTTGCAGCTGCTGCCCGTCCTCTCCGCACACGCCTCGAGCGCGTCGTTGAGCGACGACAATCCAGAAGTGAGGAGTTCCTCACTACTAGTCTGGCCGTGCTGGGTGATCCCACGCTCGGCTACAAGTGAAAGAGCAGTCCCGTTTGTCCGCTCCTTGTCCTTCTAGTGTGTGAGCGTTTCCGTCCGCTCGTTTTACTCAAGCTGCTCAGTTTCCTGCTCCAGTATGGCACATGTTACAGTAAAGCCTCGCTCCGCTCGTACGTTTCAGTATTTTTTTTCCTCTTTATCGTCAGCGCAGTGGAACCGCTTGCTCTGTGGTTCAACTTCCTCCCACTGCGCCGGGGAGAGGCTCGTAAAACACGGAATGGCCGATGCTGACTGGACCTGGACCGTAGTAGTGAGACAAGGAAGAGAGAGAGAGAGAGAGAGCAAAAGCGGTGTGAGCTAATACCTTACACTAAGCTAACACTTTAAATATACATTCAATTTTTACACCGTGTTTGGGCCATTTACATGCATTATTATCAATCCATATTTTAAGGTAAACACCACCATGGTGTAAGTACAGCAATATTGTGTTCGGTTTGTCTTTAATGACGCCTGACAGTGATTTTGCCTTGTCATCAGCAATGTCGTCAAGATTGATAAATTAATAACATTTTATTGGTTCCTGGTTATTTCATACGACTTTTTAGATGC